GGTAAATGTCAGTAACAGGATAACGTGGCAACTGGTAACTATCCTGTGGAATTTTAATTTAATCTTTAACAATTAACGTTAATTTTAGGATGGTAAATGATTAGTCAATCAAAATCGCAGGAAATCTTGTACCCGGTACTCAATGTAAGAGAATAAGGACAAGAAAATCCTACTAAATAAATGAAACCGAGTTTCTAAAACAAATGAAACATTTAATTGCTCCAAAAGTGAATAAGGTAGTCCAAGAATGTAGGCATACCTTGCCGAGTCTCAATAAGACATAAGCAAGGGTTTCCCACTAAATGAAATATGATACTTACAGAATTAGCGAACTTTGTGCTCTGAAAAAATAAAGCTAATTCCCTACCTAAGTAAATATCATCATCTCTGACCGACGTGTAGGGGTGCGAGTGTCAACTGGTGACGAGAACTGCTGCTGAGTTCCCAACTCAGCAACGTAGTCCGTGCTAGAGGAACTATGGCCCTCTTTATCCTCCTTCGGTCGGATTGCAGAAGATAGGGTGCTTTGACCTGAAGACAAACCAAAGTACCAGGGTACCACAATGATGATCTGCCGATAATGTGAGAAATATCCTAGGGACAAAAGGTGGTAAACACGAGTAATAACACTGAGGGAGGGATGACCAATTAAGAGAATGACTGAGGCCTCCAGTCACCACGTAATCCAAAGTTATCCACCACTCACCATATGCTACTCTCAGAATGCACAATACACACAGCACCATATAAATATGAAAAGTAATGATAATATTGAAAAGCAACTGTAGCAAAGCCAAGTACGCTTACCCCAAATTGATGTTCTGGTACTAGTACCTGAGTGAAGCTCCGTGGACAGGCCCCCATTAAATGTGACGGGAAAGTGTTGGAGTGTAGATGTTCGGCAGTCCTCCAATGGCTGGTGTCAATGCCTGTCGCATTTACAAAAAAAAAGATAGACTGCTTGCCTGTTGTCTGTGGTAAGTGAGAGGGAGGAACACGTAAAGCACAAAGTATGAACAATGAAAATTTAATATACTTTAAACAAATAAAAATAAAGACAAGTCCCGTGGCAATGAACAGTGCAATTAAAGAACAACGATAAATGCAAGAACACAATGTAACATAAAATAGTAATAATGTAAGACAAAACAGTAAATGGTGCTGAGAATATTGGCTATGGCTGAGACCTCCCTTAGTATACAGAGCCAGAGAGCTTAGTATGCCAGAGAGAGATGTCAACTCTTAGAGCACAAAGAATATTCTGAAGTTGATGGCTGGTTCAAGCTCAGACATCGACTCAAGTAGATGGCGCTGAGCTGCAGTGTGCAGGTGTGCAGTCGGCGAGTCACCAATCAGGAGCAGGCAGGCTGGGATGGGTAGTTGGCTGGTAGATGACGAGCCGGCGTGGAGGGAGTGTGGAGTTGGGGGGTTATTCTTGGATACGTTTTGCCTCCTGGTCAAAACGTTTCGTACTACTGGTGGACGTATTTTGAATGTAGCATCTTATACTTGTAGAAGAAACGTAACTTTAGGTAGGGAAGAGCAGGCTCAATTTCTCTTGAAAGAGATTATCGTCACTATATATATATATCTCATTGAATATGACCGCATATTCTGTATTTACTATCTTCTGATTTAGGGCTTTTATCCCTCTAACTATTTTCTTAGCATCAGGGCTTAGCTGAAATAGGAGTTCTCCAAAACTCATTTTCGTAATTTCAAAGTGAAGAAAAGAAGTGAATTAATATAGAATGTATTACACTTATTTATACAATTTGCACAACGTTTCGAACCTCCATGGTTCATTCGCAAATGAAAAGAATTTTCAGAACTGGTTGATTTTATACCTGCACTGGGTCAGGTGATAAGACAATAAAGGTGAAAACATGGGGGGATACATAAGGGATAAATGGGGGGTGAAACATAAGAACATAAGAATAGAGGTAACTGCGGAAGGCCTATTGGCCCATACGAGGCAGATCCTATCTACATACAAAGATTAATCAAGTGTAGGGCCTGTTATGTGGAACAGTGTCTTCTGTGTTGGCATCGTTATGTTCTGGTCTTGTCCTTACTCTCATGGTGGGTAGAGTAAATAGTTCCGTGATTTGGGTGTTCATGGTAGGTTGTTCTATTCTTATGTGAATTGCTTCAAGAATTTCTGCAAGAAGATTACAAATTATATAAGCGTTATATCGATATAAGCGTTAACAACACTCCTCTTGTACCTGTCTGGGCAGTCACTGTTGGCATTGAGGCACATTCCTATGTTTGTTTCCTTAGTGTAGACTGCAGTGTTGAAACCTCCGCTCCTTTCCATGACTGTTACATCTAGAAAGGGCAACTTCCCATTGTACTCCATCTCGTAAGTGAAACTCAACACAGAATTCTGCTCAAATGCCTCCTTTAGCTCCCGCAGACATCTGACATCTGTGTACCTGTGTGTGGGCAGTGACTGCTCAGACAGGTAGAAGAGAAGTGTTGTCAACGCTTACGTTGACCGTGCTCTCAGTAACAGCTCAGGATGGATATATATATATATATATATATATATATATATATATATATATATATATATATATATATATATATATATATATATATATATATATATATATATATATAATGTTGGGGTTTTACTACTCTATTCTTACTCTGGGGTGAGCTATAGTTATGCTCAAGGTCTCTCACCGTAGCCCTGCGGGTCTTCACTCGATCCTCACGGCGCCACTGCACGCCAGGAGAGTCTCCCAGTCAATCTCAACGGCCTCTGATTGAGAAGGAGTGGGAACACGACTCGTTCACTTGACTGTCATGTGCCCTCCCCAACAATCGGGCTCTACGGTTAACCACAAGGTCGCCAACTGGTGTTTTAGGTGGCCAGTAACACCTCAGTGGACTGGTTAAATTAGTGGTAGCCTTGGCAAGGTCACACTCAAAAGATCAGGAATCAGGCAGGCACTTACTCTTATCACTCTATGCTTTCAGTATAATATAGCCACAAGATCAATGGAGGAGATGATAAAAACACAAAGGTGATTTTGTATTTTACTTAAAATGTATGAAAGATATCACGAGGCCAAACAATAATATATAAATCAACTGATCCTGGCTGCGGCCGGTAGTTCCCACGAATAGTATGCACTCACTAAGTGGCAACACCTCCCCTCCTCGTCAAGTGTCAAGAACAGCTGATCGCCTGGCCCCCGCGCGAAAGTTTATTGCTTGTTTCTAGATTCATGCGCGCTGTTTCTTTAAGTTCTCCAATATTACCAGAAACTCGCACTCTCGATATTGGCCCAATAGCACGTATTACTTAGTTACACTGTACTCAGGCTCAAACAGTCGTTTCTACAATCAATGCTACAATGACTCACTGTAATGGTTTTCACTGCCCTTCATTCAATGACATATTATGAAGTATTAAACACTGGAGTTTTCAGTACTTTCTCTCGTGGGCGATAACTCAATAATTCACTGTACTCACAAATGATTAATCACTGCATGAACATAGACATATATAGTGTATATAAATCAGACATCAAATAAATGGTGAATAAATAGTTTCTGGGCACATAGCCTAACTTCCAAATACTGGCATAATATTATATATAATTTATCATTATATGTTCTCATCAAAGACTATAGAAAGATATACACAACACAGTAAATTTATCACTTGTTCCTGGTGCCTGTACACACCCATAATCAACATAAGTATTATAAGTACTCTTGATAGTACTACACGGCAAACTGGTGCCTTACTGTGACACGGGTGAGACTTGCTCACGACATATGAAATCCTCAGGCTAGATAATATAGCCGAATAACATAGCTAACTAAAGGGGAATGGGGAGGGAACTAGTAACACATACTTCAACCTATCCTCCGATGAGAGTCGAGATGTATCTCCTGGTCCTCGTGTCGGGAACGCCCCCACACACACGTCGTCGTGTCCTACCGGAACCACTCGTCGTCCCACCGTTTAGCGCGTCGTCTCCGTGCCTTCTTCCTCTGCAGGTCCGTGCTCCTTCTCTGCTTCTGGTAGGGTTGGAGTCGGTCTCCTGGCCGTCGTCTTCTCCCAGCAACGGCTGCCGCCTACGTCTCAGCTGCAGTCGTCCGGATTCCCAAATAGTCCTCTCCTTCCTCAGCTACCCAGTGGCTCTGTCACCCACTACGCCGTCACGAACTGGTGAACTGCCACAGACGTCATATACGTCACTGCACGGCTTCACTGCTTCTTACACAGTACCTGACTGGAGCACTTGTTGCTCAAATAACCATCGATTCCCTCTCTGGTTCAACACATGAACTAGGGAAGACCTCACAGAGTACTGGCAGACTTCAGGTGACGCGTAAATCCACGGGAGCGGGAAACAACTGTCAAACTGACAGGACCAATCGTCGCACGTCCAACCTCTTTGACGTGTCGTGTCTGACTGATGGCGCCAGCGCGGCGCGCAGCCTGGACCCCCTTCCTTCGTGACGTCACTTTCGCCACGGGAAGTTCTCATTGGCTCCCGGTGCCACATTGCTGTCGGTGACCAATCCGGTGCCACTGACGTCACACAGTTTTGGCGGGGAATCAGGAAAGCCAGCGCCATCTTGGCTTCCTAAAGGGCCTATACCACAGGCCAAAACATTACTATTTCACAAATTTCTCGGCTCTCCGAGAACACTTCCCTCTCTCCCATATATCAAATTGAAGCCTGCAACGTAGAGAACGCTTGGGACAAGTAGACATGACTCTTACTGCAGGCGTGGGAGAAATATAAGGGGGGGGGGAACACCGTCACAATATATATATATATATATATATATATATATATATATATATATTTTTTTTTTTTTTTTGTATATATTTTATTCTCGATGAAATTCTCGGAATCAAAGCTAATATCAAGCAGCAATTTATATATTTTATTTATAATTTTTATTTATTATTTAATAATAGAACTGAATGATCTAAGATATCCAAGTTACTAACGAATTATTTACAGAGTATTTACAGGAAAGAACGACACCAGCTGCAGGAACTGCAAGAGAAGACGAAGAACGAAACTGTTAAGGCACAGGTGGAGGAGATCCTGAAAGTTCAGGAAGTCCTCTTCTCTAGTTACTGGAGTGACACAACTGGTAAAAAGAATACAATGACCGCAAAATCCCAAGAAATGTCAAGTGGATCCCAAGCTCTTCTGTTGGCCTCAAGAAGTGGATTTGTACAGCTGATATACCTCCTGGTGAAGGTGGGTGGCCTGGCTGTAGACAAACCAGTAGATCCTACCAATGACACCACTGCCCTCCACCAGGCAGCTTCTTGTGGTAAGTCCTGCGTCATTATCCTCCTCCTGAACCTTGGTGCACAACCGCTTCTCCCTGACAGATACGGGCAAACGCCTCCCCACTTGGCTGCAATGTTCGGCCATGAGCATGCTTTTCAACTTTTTGCTGAATTTCACCGGGAAAATATACCATATTGCAAGGCAGGGACTAGCCCTCAAGAAGTTCGTAGGCATTATACGAAACGTTTACAAATATATAATGGATGCAAATTTGCATCTGAACTTAATGTTCGTGAAATAAATAACGACCAAAGAGAAGCAACTGAAAACCTTCTTCGACATATTAACTTCGAAAATTTGGTGGAATACACTCAGGAGGCAACGGTTGATTACAAAGATGGTGAATCAAAAGATGTCAAGGACGCTGTAGTAAAAGAAATTCAGCAAATTATATCCAAGATTGAAACAGATATTTACAAAGGAAACATTAAACTAGTAGGAAGCGCTGCAGATGGCACACGACTCTATTATCCAGATGAGTTTGATTTTAATTTTATTCTAGAGGAAATTCCCGGAATCAAAGCTAATATCAAGCAGCAAACAAAGGAGGAGGTCATAGTCAGTGGTCACAAATTAAAGGTGGAGCTTCAGACAGAAAATACAAGTCTCCATGGTAATAACCTAATATCAAACTTTTTTGAGAGAGTTCGGGACTGCCTCAAAAGCTATACTTTTGTTAACAAACAATTAAGTCTAGTGCCACCTGGCCTGACAAGGACGCAAGTGGGCGTGGCACTGACGCTGGCTTGGCAGGGTAGTGAGTATCCCCTGTTGATAATCGGTGTTGACTTAGTGCCAGTGATCTCTGTGCCTTGGCCTGAGGAGATACACAGACCTTCCCTTACTCCCAGTGGCCTAGACACGGTCCACCTCAGCAACACAGAAGACAGAGGTGGATCCTATATATGCAGCTTTGCTGCAACAGAGGTTGAAGTGCTTGCAAATCTGGATCCCCAAGAACGTCAGGTGTATCTCACCTGCAAGACTCTTCTCTCGCGCATGAAGGCTGAACCTTGGATGCCCAAAGACATGAGGAATCTGTTTTGCTGGTGGGATTCCCGCTTTTGGAAAATCCCGACTCCTGAAGGATTCTGCCTAAAAAATTCCTTTTTGAAGCAGGTTGAGAAAAAGCGACGGGAGGGAATAAAGTGGCAAGAAGATATAATATCCCTAGTGATGTCTGTATTCAAGGAAATGTGCCTTGAGATTGTTGATGAAGAATCTGGCAGTTCGAGTTTCGTGCCAAACAAAGTTAATGCTTACTTTGGTGGAGACTGCGCTAGGCCAAAAGTGGGAGAAGGAGCTCCAGAAATTGTTAATTTTCTCAAGAAAATCTCATTAACCTGAAGATGTTTACTTGGGATCCTTCAGAGAGACGATAAAGGAAGAAAAACACAACACAAGAAATAGACAGTGAATGAAAAGAAGATGGAAACAACAGCCCTTAACAACTTACGGTGGATTTCAAAGAATTATACAAAATTACAGACTCGGAGTTAAGGAGACGTGCTTCTCTAAACTATATTTAAATACTTTTATGGTATCACACTGTACTATATCTCCAGGTAGGGTGCTCCTTACGTTTTTGTTCGTGTCAAGAACAAGTATTTAGTATGATTTGAGTAATATTTTTTCTAGTAATTTTAAAACAAATACTATACATTAAGTTTATACATACTTAAAAAAATTCAGAGTTAACAATGTGATAACAATGTAAACACATATATCAAATAACCTCAGTTTCTTCTTCTTTTGAGATTAAATAAATTAATGTATTTTATAGGCTTTTTGGATGATTTATTTGTGGTTTGTAATATCGTTGTCTGGCGCTGAACAAGTTCCAGTTTGTCAATATAATTTCTCAATTATGGAGACAAAAATTATATGTAATATTCATGAATAAGATTAACCAGTGAACTCCAGAGCAGAACTCCGATCGAAATTAGAAAGAGCTGCCAAAATAACCCAAAATTTTATTTTATTTCCTAGCAGTTTTACATTGCTTGTTTGATTGAATGTTATTAGCCAGTTTCCTCTTTAATTTATATTTCCAAGTTGCAGCATTTTGCATATTTCAGCATTAAATATCTGACATTTTTCTGACCAATTTACAAGGTTGAACAATTCATATATTTGTCTCTCAAAGAATATTGAAGCTTTGCTGCCTTGTTTAGCATAATTAACAAATTTTGATATTGTATTGCTAAGCCATTATCAATGGCTTAAAAACATTTTTATTCAACAGTTGGCTTAGCAACTTTTTTTTAGCATTATCGATATCCTCCCTATTTATATCCACGTAAACCCATTATTATATATGTCTAACTTACGCTTGAAACAATCAATGGATCCTACGTCTATTATGTTACTTGGTAAATGGTTCCACATATCAACAACTTAACCAATATTTTCCCAAGTCTTTGCTGTATCTAAACTTATCCAAATTATACCCATTGTTTCGTGTTCAATTTTGTGTTGATACTTTTATATATTATTTTTTATATATTGTTGATAAGGCTCCGTGACACCAGTTGCAATGTGCTCCTGGAAGTCCGGGTTCGAGTCACTTTTGGGGTCTTTTGGGGTGTGGAGTTTTCATTTGCATATATTCTTGAAGACCATTGAAGATTGTTCGCATTTCTGTTGCTCACGTGGCCGCACTAAAATGAAGTGATTTGATGAAATAGCTATGCCCAAGATTACCATCAAAGTGCCGCGAGGGGGGTGGCCATATAGCTTCGGCTATCACCTCCTTATGTGTGGTCACTGATGGTTGAGTGGATTAAGGCACCGTGATATCAGTTGCAATGTGCTCCTGGAGGTCCGGGTTCGAGTCACTTTTGGGGTGTGGAGTTTTCATTTGCATATATACTTAGGGACCATTCAAGCTTGTTATATATATATATATATATATATATATATATATATATATATATATATATATATATATATATATATATATATATATATATATATATATATATATATATATATATATATATATATATATATATATATATATATATATATATATATATATATATATATATATATATATATATATATATATATATATATATATATATATATATATATATTGGTGTATACTGGCAGCAGGTTTTCTTTCAAACATGTTTCATTGAATATGACCGCATATTCTGTATTTATTATTTTCTGGTTTAGGGCTTCTATCCCTCTAACTATTTTCTTAGCATCAGGGCTTAATTGGAATAGGAGTTCTCCAAAACTCATTTTCGTACTTTTAAGGTGAAGAAAAGAAGTGATTTACTATAGAGTGTATTACACTTATTTGTATAATTTGCACGACGTTTCGAACCTCCATGGTTCATTCTCAAGTGAACAGATCTTACAATACTAGTTGATTTTATACCCGCATTAGGTCAGGTGATAATACAATGAAGGTGAAAAACATGGGGGGATACATAAGGGATAAACATAGGGGCTGCAGAAGGCTTATTGGCCCATACGAGGCATCTCCTATCTAAACACAAAGATTAATCCAGTGTAATTGGCCTGTTATGTTGGACATTGTCTTCTGTGTTGGCATCGATATGTTCCTGCCTTACCCTACAGAGTCAATAATCAATAGATACTACAGAGTATCCTAGTCAATAACGGCTTCTCCAATGGTTTCGTCGAAGACATCATAAGAAGGAAAGTGAAAAGCCATGCAACCTCTGAAGAGACAACTAACACAACACCTATACTCCCTATTAGACTATTTTACAGGAACTTCTTTTCCACAGCTCATAAAACGGAGGAAAGGGTCCTGAAAGATATTGTTAATAGAAACGTTATCCCTACAGACAAAAATCAGAGGATACAACTGACGATTTACTATAAAACCAGAAAAACGGCCAGCCTACTCATGAGAAACTCTCCAGACACAAAACAGAACGCTTTAAAAGAGACTAACGTCGTCTATGCCTTCAAATGCCCACTTGGGGACTGTAAGCTCCAAAAAAACCAGTATATAGGCAAGACAACAACATCTCTTTCTAGGCGTTTAACGATGCATAAGCAACAGGGCTCTATTAAGGAACATATAATCTCTTCCCACAACCAAACCATCGCCAGAGAAATCCTAGTAAACAACACAGAAATCATCGATAGATACAGCGATAGCAGGCGGCTTGACGTTTGCGAGGCACTACACATCAAGAAGTCAACACCAGCAATCAACAGCCAATTATTGCACAACTATATTCTACCCACCTCAAGACTCCGCTCCAATATAGAAGCATCAAGAAATATGGACCAATAGGCTTTCTACAAACACTTCTATTCAATATCCATTGTTTCGTGTTCTGTCTTGTGTTGATGAAATTAATACCCTATTAATACCCTTGTTCTGTCTTGTGTTGATGAAATTAATACCCTATTAATACCACATTTTGTTCTGTCTTGTGTTAATGCCACATCACCCCTTCCACCTCACTCAAATGTAGATATAAAATCGGAGATACGTAAGTTCTATTCAGTTGTGTATTTGTGAACTAAAGTCTTTGAAAATGTAATAAGTTTTACGAAACGCGCCCGTGTCGCGTCAGACTAGAAATAAAAATGAATTTTGGAGAATTGATTTTTGATTTACCTCCAACAGTGAAGCATAATGTACGAAAGATTGAGAAAATTCGTGTTAGAATTATTAATCTTACTTTTTCGGTCATATATATAATATATATATATATATATATATATATATATATATATATATATATATATATATATATATATATTATATATATATATATATATATATATATATATATATATATATATATATATATATATATATATATATATATATATATATATATATATATATATATATATATATATATATATATATATATATATATATATTTTGGTAGCAGTCTTTCCTGTTGACATATATTATTAAATATGACCGAAAAAGTAAGATTAATAATTCTAACACGAATTTTCTCAATCTTTCGTACATTTCTTTTCACTGTTGGAGGTAAATAAAAAATCAATTCTCCAAAATTCATTTTTATTTCTAGTCTGACGCGACACGAGCGCGTTTCGTAAAACTTATTACATTTTCAAAGACTTTAGTTTACAAACACACAACTGAATAGAACTTACGCATCTCCGATTTTGTTTATATCTACATTTGAGAGAGGTGGATGGGGTGAGGTGGCATTAATAGGGTATTAATTTCATCAACACAAGACAGAACAAGAGGTGGCATTAATAGGGTATTAATTTCATCAACACAAGACAGAACACGAAACAATGTCGTACCTAGTAGCCAGAATGCACTTCTCAGCCTACTATGCAAGGCCCGATTTGCCTAATAAGCCAAGTTTTCCTGAATTAATATATTTTCTCTATTTTTTTTCTTATGAAATGATAAAGCTACCCATTTCATTATGTATGAGGTCAATTTTTTTTATTGTTGTTAAAATTAACGTAGATATATGACCGAACCTAACCAACCCTACCTAACCTAACCTAACCTAACCTATCTTTATAGGTTAGGTTAGGTTAGGTAGCCGAAAAAGCTAGGTTAGGTTAGGTTAGGTAGGTTAGGTAGTCGAAAAACAATTAATTCATGAAAACTTGGCTTATAATAATAATAATAATAATAATAATAATAATAATAATAATAATAATAATATTTATTTAGGTAAAGGTACATACATAAAGAGATTTTACAAAGTTTGTTGGCTTTATAGATAGAGCTAGTACATACAATGCCTAAAGCCACTATTACGCAAAGCGTATCGGGCAGGAAAAAACACTAATGACTAAAGCTTAAAACTAATGGGTAAAAAGAACAAAATGTGTTGAGTACAAATAAAAATAGAGGTAAAAGAGGGGGGAACATTGTTGAAAAAGCAGCACAAATACAATTACAAATTATTACAGAAAATTTCATTCAAACAGCGTTGATTTGAAAAACAAGAAAAAACAAAAAACATACATGGGTTGACAATAGAGGGGTAAGGTAGGTTACAGGGAATTTATTAGGTATAGCTTCGTTTTTAACTTAAACTGGTTGAGAGAGGTACAGTCTTTAACTTGGTTGGGAAGGTCATGCCACATTCTGGGCCCCTTGATTTGTAGAGCATTTCTAGTTTGATTAAGTCGTACTCTAGGAATATCAAAACTGTATTTATTTCTGGTGTGGTGCTCATGGGTTCTGTTACAACCTTCTATGAAGCTTTTGAGATCAGGATTGGCATTATAGTTTAGCGTCTTATATATGTATAATACACATGAGAGAATGTGCAGTGACTTAATGTCTAACAATTTCAGAGATTTGAGTAGGGGTACCGAGTGATGTCTGGGGCCAGAATTGGATATTGTCCTAATAGCAGCTTTGTGTTGAGTAATTAGAGGACGTAAGTGATTTTGGGTAGTAGAGCCCCAAGCACAAATACCATAGTTGAGATATGGTATTTGATACCATATCAAAGGGAGATAAGGGAGTAATAGAGAGTCATCAGGGCAGGGCGTGGTACATAATATCTGATCTTAGAAAGAATGCCCACAGTTTTTGAAACTTTTTTTGATATGTTTAGAATGTGTCCCTGGAAATTCAGCTTGTGGTCAATGAGAATGCCAAGGAATTTGCCATCTAATTTGTTACAAATTTGGGTATTGTTTATTTTGAGGTTTATTTGATTAGAGGATTTATTGCCAAACAGAATATAGAAAGTTTTGTCAATGTTAAGGGTGAGTTTGTTGGCAGTTAGCCACAGATGGACTTTATTTAGCTCAGTATTTACTGTGGCATTTAGAGCAAGGGGATCAGGACTGGAGTAAATGAAGGTTGTGTCGTCAGCAAATAGAATTGGTTTGAGGTGTTGGGAGGCATTTGGAAGGTCATTAATGTAGATGAGAAAGAGGAGAGGGCCAAGTATGCTGCCCTGGGGAACACCAATGTTGATGGGTAGGGTGGGAGAAATTGTATTATTCACAGAAACACATTGGAGCCTGTCAGTAAGGTAGGATTTGAGGTATTGTAGGGAGTGTCCTCTGACACCATAATGATGTAATTTAAGAAGAAGGTTTTGGTGGTTGACAGTATCGAAAGCTTTACGCAGGTCCACAAATAAGCCAACAGGGAACTCATTTTTATCAAGAGCTGTATGACTAAAGCTTAAAACTAATGGGTAAAAAGAACAAAATGTGTTGAGTACAAATAAAAATAGAGGTAAAAGAGGGGGGAACATTGTTGAAAAAGCAGTACAAATACAATTACAAATTATTACAGAAAATTACATTCAAACAGCGTTGATTTGAAAAACAAGAAAAAACAAAAAACCGAGTTAAAGCATACTAATAAGTGCATCGTTAGTGCTTTTTTTGGGCCTGAAGCCATATTGGCAAGGGCTAAGTATATTGAGTTTGGCTAGATATGAGTAAAGCTGCTTATAGATTAGTTTTTCAAATTTTTTTGACAAGTTTGGCAGGATTGATATAGGTCTGTAGTTGTTAACATCTGTGAGATCACCACATTTGTGGACAGGCGTTACTCTCGCTTTTTTTAGAATATCTGGAAAGGTTTGGAGTTCAAGTGACTTGTTGAAGAGCAAAGCAATAGCAGGGGCTAAAGATCTGGAGGCTTTTTTGTAGATTAAAGTTGGTATCTCCTCAAGGGCACCAGACTTGGTTTTAAGGGAAAGGATTATCTCATTGACGTCAGTGGAATTAATAGGCTTTAGGTACAGAGACTGGGGATAGTTCCCTGTAAGATAGTCCTTAATGTCAGTACTGGAAGATGGAATATCATTAGCAAGGGATGAACCAATGGAAGAGAAGAACCTATTGAACTCAATAGCAGAATCAGAGGCTGAAAGCTGACCATCGTTATTAGACAGGAGAGTCGGTTTGT